AACTTCTATAATATCAAAAGATCAAGTGATGGGTAATGTGGATTGCAAACTCCTGTCTCTTTTCTAAGTTCCTCAAGTGGTGACAAAGCTTTAATGGAAAAAAGCTGAGATCTAAATGTTTTCCTTGAGATATTCCAATCCAGTGCTCACTTAAATAAAAGACCAGTTGGATTGACTCATCCAATGCCATAGTTGGTGAAAAAGAAGATTTCTTCTGAGATTCAAGTGAAGCAAGAAAACTATCCCAATCAGGTAAATTCTTTTTGAGAAGATGTTGTTTTTATTTTTGGTGGGGGGTTTTTTTTTGGTAGGTCTTGAATTGTCCCCTTTCTTAAATTGTTCTTTTCCTTTCCTCTTTTAACTTAGCAATTCATTGGTTTTCGGACAATCAACAGTGACAAACTGTTGGCAATGATCCTGATAGATAGAGATTATTACCAATCTATTAGGAGGGTGAAATATTGTCCCCAAAATCTAACTTAGAGTACTTTTGTATGAAAACAAGTTAGTCACTTTGTAAAAGTCTGTAAAATATTTAAATTCATTTTCAATTTTTCAATAAAGACACACCATTGTTGTATGATTGTAGGTTAAAAAAAAAAAAAAAAAAAAATACAAAAATACAATAACATTTGTATGACATATTCTTAACATAACAAATATAACATATGTTTGAAACCTATCAACAAAGTTGTATCCTATACAACCAGTTACCCTACATGGATCAATGAGATAATAAACAACAAATTAATACTAAACAATAAATAGGTAAATAATCAATAAATACGTATTTACATCACATTGATTAATTAAAATACAATAATAATAAATAAACTTAAAAAAGTTTGAAATCAAAATAACATATTTGATACAGTAAATAAGTAAACAAAAGTAAATTCATTAAAACAGTAAATTCAACAACAAACATATGACATAATATAAATAATATAGTAATAAATATAAATAGAACTTAACATATACTTCAAATAGTAAACAAAAGAGAGAAGAATATATTTAATACTTTAGTCAGACTTTTATAAAAATATGATAAACATTCAAAACTATGGGTTTCCCAATAATTGCTATAACAAAAAGGAATCAAATTTAATGAAGAAATAATTGTAATACTTGAAATATATATAATCTTGGATAGTATCATTGCCAAGATAATAAAACAATTTTTCACAAAGAATAGATTTTAACTTAACACTTACTATACCTTTGTCAACTGAACAAAAGGTAATAAAAAATTCGTTTTTAGTCCTATATAGAAGATAGGTTTCTGGAAATTATTAAAAATCTAAAAAAATTACATAAACTTAGACATTAATCAAATGAAATTATTGATAGTATTCCTTAATAAATTTTTTTTTTTTTTTAATGCTAGCTCATTCCTGCATTGATGCATATGCTTTATTAAAATCAAGATATGTCCTAGAAACAATCGGGATGACTAATCATCCTTACTGCCTAAGGATTTACAGATCAACAAATAGTACAAAGGGGCATCTATTTACGTCTCACCCAATTAGAATGGAGTAACTATTGACTGTCTAGTATAGGACTTTCTCTAAACTCTAACAAGCTATAGGAGTTGAGAAATCTCCTTCATTGAAGTGATACCAGCCGTTAAACCTATTTCTAGAACCTTCGCTTCCTAGAGTTTTTCCCACCAGATGACCTGTTGCTACTCCTGTTAGGGGGAACTAACATGTCAAGAACTTGCCTAAAATATCCAACACCACCAGTGTTAGGAGTTCCTTATACAAGGAGATCTCGTTAGCACTTAAAAGAAGAGAAAAGAAAAAGAAAAAATATTGTCCTGTCTTGTGTCTCTGTCTGTCTTGTTGAATTGTTTGGGTTTAGTCTTGTAAATATATATATATATATATACATATTGCATTACATATAAATTGTTTATGTGTTGCAACAATATTACTATCTATATTTTTTAACTATTGCTTTTAAATTTCTCATGTATTCTTGAGTCTTTATAACTTTTGAGTTTTAACTGGTTTACAATTAAAACAATTATATTATGAAAGTTTCTTTTAATGTTTAGAAAGATATTAATCTGCACTGGTCTGGTTAGAAACTAGAAGAGTTGATATTGAATTATTTGACCTTATTATAATTCAGATTTTTTTTTTTTTTTTTTTTTAACCCGCAATCATGCCATAATAGCTTGTCTTTATTGAAAAATTGAAGTAAATCTACAATATTTTACAGACTTTCACAACATAACTAACTCGTCTTTATACAAAAGTACTCTAAGTCAGATCTTGGGAACAATATTACACTTCTCCAATAGATTGGTAATAACCTCTATCTATCAGGATCATTGTCAACAGTTTGTCACTGTTGATTGCCCAAAAACCAATGAATTGCTAAGTTAAAAAGGGGAAAGGGGAAAAACGATTGGGGAAAAGGGACAATTCAAGGCCCACCAAAAAAATCCAAAAATAAAAACAACCTCTTCTCAAAAGGGATCTGCCTGATTGGGATAGTCTTCTTGATTCACTTAAACCTCGAAAGAAATCTTCTTTTTCATCACCTGTGGCATCGGACGAGTCAATCCAACTGGTCTTTCATTTAAGTGGGCACCGGATTGGGATATTTCAAGAAAAACATTTAGATCTCAGCTTTTTTCCATTAAAGCTTTATCACCACTTGAGGAACTTAGGTAAGAGATAGGAATTTGCAATCCACATTACCCATCACTTGATCTTTTGATGTCATGGAAATCTTCATTAAGGAACTTTAGTTTTTTGGGAGCAACCGTTTCCGGAACATTCTTTCCAATCGACAATGATGTTATCAGAACACGTGAATGTGACTAATAGGAGCTTGTTTACATTCCAAAAACTAACGTGTTTTATGTCAGCCAATCACCTTTGATGAGGATTTGTGCTACCAAAAATTCAGGATCAAACTGAGGTAGGCAAAATTCTCCAGAAAACCATGAAAGTGATAGCTCTAAAAGGCCCAACAGTGATTGGAAGGGGAAAAATAGGCCCTTTTGTCATCAAAAACCTCTATATACCTCTCACTTAAAAGATTAAATAGACCTTCAGGTACTTTACAGTCAGTTCTTCTTCTTTTGGGAACTTTCTTACCATTAATATCAAAGGTGTTTCTTGACTTTTCTTGATTACTAGAAGTCAAGTTTTTGAATGAAGAGATTTGTAAACAAAAAGGAAAAGGTAGAGGTGACTCTTGAAGTTATACTTCAAGTTGTTTTAAGAAAAGTATTAAGACTTTATTAGCAAAGAAGTATAAAAACTTCTTGCGAACATCTTTTTTGGGTGTGATCAGAGGATCAACAGAAAGAGTTTTTTGCATTAAGCTCTATTTATATTTACTATTATATGAAGTATTATATTATGTATGTTAAATATAATACATTTTATATTATTTTATAACTATTATTTTGTTTAATTGTAATATTATTATGTATTAATCTTATTTACTTGTTTATCAGTGATCTATTTTTAGAATATGAATAAACTTATGATATTGTTGATAAAATATATTTGTTTTAAATAATACAAAAAAACCTTGTATTGATTTGATGTATTTATTTATTTATATGATGATTCTATTCTAATAGGAAATCACTATTGTAATATTTATATGAAGAGTCAATTAAATTATTTTAATAATAAGTTATATACATTTAAATAGCTTGTTTTCTTTATGTAAAAGTTTTAAGAGTTAAAAAACATTTTTTTAAAAAAAATAAGTTTTTTAACTATAACAATATCTCTATAAACCTTTCATTTCAAAAGTTGAAAAGGTTTTTAGATATTTCACAGTTAATTTTTTTTTTTTTAAGAACTTTTTACTATTGATATTAAAATGTTACTTGATTTTTCTTAATTATTGAAAGTCAAGTTTTTGAGTAAAGAGGATAAGTAAAAAGTAAAGATGACTCATAAAGTTATATTTCAAGTTGTTTTAAGGAAAGTATTAAAACTTTATTAGCAAGAAAGTATAAAAACTTCTTATAAACATCTTTTTTATATGTGATTAGAAGATTAATATAAAAAATTTTTAATTAAATATTTTTTCTTGAAAAAAAATAAAAATTTCTTTTTTTTTTATTTTTTATATAGTAAGTTTATATATCTTTAGATATTTTATCTTTTCTTTATTTTTAAATCATTTTTTTACAGTTTTCTATTATAATAAATAATAATTTGCTGATTTTAATATTTTAAATTAAAAGAACCTTTATTCAAAATTTATTATAAAATAAATATTATTCTCAAGATCAAACTTAAAGACTTTAGCAACAAGTTAATCAAATATAATTGACATTTAACTATAGTATATACAGTATCATGTTGCTCAAATGTACATGTGCTGATGCATTCAATTGATTAATGAACCAATATCTGACCTGACTATGGGTAATGCCAAAAATTTCCATTTGATTTTTCTCAATTCTAGCTTAAACAATTTATATGCACAACCAATTATTTATGGACTAAAAGTAATTTATATTGAATAATTAAATTAATGATTATTTATTTAAATACGCAAAAAAAAATATACAGCACACTATATACATATTACACATTGAAATGTACCGTATGTATATAAATAGAAACTTGATCTAATTTGAAATAAAATGTAAAATTAACAATCATGCAATTTCTTAGCGTGAAGATTGCAAAACCAGATTATTTTTTTTTTTGATTTTAGCCAGGCTAAGTATGGTCTGAAATTCAAACATTAAAGCTGACTAACACTTTTATTCTTACCAAACTTGGAAGCGCAGTAAGCATTTTTTTTTTTTTTTAAACCAGAAAAATTAAGATCATTTCATGAGGCCACCGCTATGGGGCGAAAATAGATTGCCTATGTACTGTACGCCATTAGTGAATCTGTCCATTAGAAGCATCTAAACAATTAGGTTCTTTTTGAAGAATTGTTCATTATTAAGGAAAAAAATCGAGAAGACTTCAATATATGTGAGACATGAACTCCTGGGGATTTCATTCTAATTCCAACACTTTAATTGTTCCTTGACTGTTGGCGGCCAACAAAGTGTTTGAATTATTCTTCCAACACACTGAACTGACAAAGAGGGATGAGTCAACATCCACAGTTTCCTCGCCCTGCAAAAAGAAATTTATGTGACACAGATCAGCTAGAGAAAACGATTTTGGAAAAGTGCAGATGGATAACTAACCGTCACAGGGTTTATACTTCCGAATTTGAACTTAACAACCGGCTTACTCAGAGTTTTATAATAGGCAACGACCGAATTGTCCTCACTCCCGCACCCGATCCAATCAGACGATGTACTTAGGCCTACAAAATTCTTTTCATTTATGTGACCAGTGTACGTTCGAGTACAAGTTTGAGTGTCAATGTCCCAGAGCTTGAGTGTGCTGTCAGTGGAACTATTTTAAGGTTCAAGGTTAACTATATCCGTCAGCTAGATTACGTGATACAAGAAAACTGGGTGAATTTCTTACGCAGAAATCATTTCATTTCGTTTCATGTATTTCACATAAGAAACAGCTTTACGATGACCCTTATAAACAAAGAGTGGCTTACGGCTATGCCTTAGATCAAAATAATGTATATGATGATCTGTTTCCCAAGAATATTCATAAGTAACACTGAGGATAATATTCATTAAAATGTTGATTTATTTCTTTATTTACGATGTTTGACTCACCGGCACTACCAAATGCTATATGATGACCAACGTCCGGATTAAATTTTACACAACAAACGTTGGCGTTGCTTTCGAGAGTGAACACTGAATTTTTTTGATTCGTTGACCAAATCTTGACTAAGTATTTAATTGATGATATCGAAGATGAGTCTGCGAGTTAGAAAACGTCTATCCCAAGAGAAATAATAAAATAATCGAACCTTTCGTGTCATCGCTCCCGCTAGCTAACTTCGTAGGATCCATTCTTCCAAAGTCCACACTCCACGCGCGTTTCTCATGCTCGTCGAATGAGATGACTTGACCTCCAGTGTTAACATCCCATAAAGAAACAATTCCATCATAATCAGCACTTGCGACTTGGGATTTAATATAATGATTCCAGGATAGGCAGCTACAAGATGAAAACGAACATTGAATTTTAATGAACGGTATTGCCGAAGGCATCATAATAATTCTACCTGATTTTACTACGACAATTCATTTCCCTGATAGGGTAGGTCAGGAAAGTGTCCATTATTTTTCGCGTTCCACCAGCACCGTCCCTGATGTTCCCCGATGCCAGTCCTCCGAAGGCATCCTCATAGTTATTCCTTTCAATATTCGCATATTCAAATATCTTGATTTTTTTTGTCACACCAGCCGTAGCGAAATATTCGTCATCTCGATCGAATTCAATGGTGGAGACTATCGATGAGGTGTTAAATAAGTCCGCGTATCTCAAGGTGTTTACCAATCGAAAACTAGAATATCTCGTGAAGGTCTTTAGTGTTGTAGAAAAGCTAGACAATCCTCGAGAGTTTACTGATAGCATTTGTTATACACTCGAGTCAGCCACTTGACATCCATTTATTGTTATCATACAAATTCATGACTAAACACTCACTACTAGACAACCTATTCGAAAAATAACATTGCTCCAGGTCGTCACGGTGTTTTAACATGCGCTGCTTCTTGCTTTGCAAATTTTGTTCGCGAGTAATTTCTATCCTACTATGCAATGACGAAGAAGGTATACTATTTCAATTTAAATATTAAATAATCCAATTTCATTATGATATTTCAAAAATTTATGAACTTCACTAGTATTACCTGTCCAAGAATGTTGCAATACCCTCTGTTACGGAAATTTCAACTTCCTAAAAAAAAAAGTTGCGAACAAAAGAAGAAAAAAAAAAGAAAAATTCTAATTCTAGGTTTGGGCACTGATTCAAAGGAAAGCGTAATAGTATATTGGCATACTGTATGTTTTCTCTTTCTTGTTTGATCTAGCTCTTTTCGTTCATCCTCAATGATCTCCCGTTCATCATTAGCCGAGCGTGCTTCAGTGTGACTGATATCAGATTCCGCCACCTTTTCTCCTTCCTCATGCTTTTTGCCCTTATTGAGTTGTGATCGATAATCCATCTCTTGCTGAATTGAAACCAAATCTTCCTTTAAACATTCGATTTCTTTCGTCGTTTGAGTAAGTAACTGTAATCGTCGAATAAATTGCATCGATATCAACACCTCAGAAATAACCGGCATCACAATTGTCGAATGTTAGGATAATGATAATACTTCTTGTTTCTTGATTTTGGTTCTAGACAAAAAGTCAAATAGAATATCCAATTCGTCTTCCCTTTCAACAGATTCGATTTTTTGTTTTTTCGCCAAAAGGGTCACCACCATTGTATCAATCTCTGAAAGTTTTTGACATGGAAAAAAGATAAATTTATTTCAAAGTCGAAGGAAATAATCCTAAGGATATAATTCTGGGAAAAACAAATCACCTTCAACGCTCAAATCGTCTTTGAGTATTTTTTCTTTCAAATTCTTCGCAGGTGATGACGGCGTAAAATCGTTCCGATTCACCACTATCGAAGGTGTCCTTTTCAATATCTTATTCACTAATACAGATGGATACATGTGCATACGTATGATTAGCTCGAACGCGTAAATTGAAGAAACTATAACATTATATGGGGTTCGGAGGAAATTAATTTCACGAACGTAAGAAGTTTGGATATACTTGGTCCCTCGTCAGGTGAGAACTGCAGGTTGGACAATCCTGACGTGAATCGAGGTGGCTGAAGATACAGGCGTAACTGATAATGAAGATGTTCGAAGAATATTTTAGCATTTATGCTTGTGGGATGTTTAATTCATCATGTAGTTACCAAAAGGAATGTCCACAACGCCCCACGAACGCCTCCTTTATAATATCTAAACAAATTGGACTAATCCAATGTGAGTTATAATTTGAAGAAGTTGCACACCGACCAAAGATCTGCAATTCATCCTACCACAAAAAGTCGGCATCTTGTGTTATTTTATAATGTTCGCTGCTGATGTTATCCTCGTTTAAACTTGATGGCCAGGGTGAGTTCGTGTCGGAAGCCAAAGTTCCATGTCTATGACTTGTTTTACTCGAGCGCGTACTTTTTGAGGATCCGTTGATTTGTTTAATGTCTGTCGCCTCGGGATCCACTTTGTTGTAGACGCGATCGGTGATTTGAGTAATTTGGTGGCTGGGAGTAGTATTATCTCTTTCGGCGTAGACGTGACTCGTGGAATTCGGGGTTATGCCGTCCATGTACTCGCGTTTGGGAGAACCCGAAACTCGGTCGTACATTGACTGCAGATTAGGATTTTCACTCTGCGAAGTATACGAAGTGGTAGTCATATGTTTAACAAAAAGTGTGTTTCGTGATATTTGACTAAGCAGTTGCGGATGTGTTTCAATAACCGAAGTGAAATTTTATGATAATTTTTCTTTTCTTGTGAAGTTTGCAACGTGGGATAAAATTTAAGTTTTATGTCACCAAGTGATATGCAGAAAAAATTTTTTATTGTGTTACAGCGAAAAAAAAATACCACCCGTGTCCTTCCCGAAAAAGAAAACAATGAAGTACAATGGAGATCTACCACATTAAAAGTGAACATTGTTCTTGAACATCGACAATTCTATTACTCAAAAGAATCTAAAATAAGAACACCTGTGATCGTGATAAAGTCCGCATCTTAGCTTTCCATGCAAGTGCTGTAAGATTGTAATATCAAGGGTAACCTCGGCATTGGTTCTTGTGAACTATGAGATTGCGATTACACGCTTCGTGCAAAATAGATTGCAGAGAAACGAAGAATAAACAGTGACCAATGCAATTGCATTGCTTGAAATGAAGTTCCATTTGCGAAATGTTACGCGTTTTTTATTTTACTTTTATTCATTTTATTTTTTATACTAAATTCGCTGTTTTGCAAAGTGCTTTTTACATGGGAAAAAAAATTTTTTTTTTTTTCAAACTAAACATACCGCAAGTTTTTTTACATAATCCTGAGTTTAGGTTAGTATGGTGTCTATAAACTATTTCGTATTTTAAAGTTTAGATATGGCTTGACGATTAAAAATTTGCCAAAGAAAAAAAAGTCATCATCATCATCAGAGTTTTTATATAAGTTTCTTTTTCTTTTTTCCACACGGAATGAGTATAGATATGCTTTTTTTCACACAGAATGAGTGTTCAATGTGATAAAAAAAAAAAAGATTTTGCCCAAATAGATTTTAAAATACTATATTTCTAAATATAATCCATAAAATAATTAATATAAAAAATTATATTCATACATACAGTAGCTTATTATTATCTTTTTTTTAATTTTAATATTCATTTATCTTTAATATATGATTAATATTTAACTAGATTTTTTTTTTAAAGCTGGCGAAGTTATGGCATATAGTTTTTATTTGTTCATTAATATACTGCATGCATAAAACTATATTGATAATAATTAAGATTTCAAAATATATAATTATAAAAAAGCAACTATAATTCATTTTGACGATACTAGGTTATATTTTAAACTAATTTATCATTATACTACTTAAATGATAAAAAATTTATCAAGCTAATTTAAATTAAAAAAAAATAAATAAATAAAAATTTTTAAAATTGAATTTTAAAAAACAATATTTTATTTTCTTAATAAATTAAGATTTGATTTTTATTTATTAAATTATTGCTAACAATTTATTATTATAAATTATTCAAAAAAACAATCAATTATTAAATTAAAAAATTAAAAATGAAAAAAAAATAATTTAAGAAAATTTTTAATCAATCTAATAATATCTTTTTCAAAAAAAATTTATTTAAATAAAATATTTTTTAATTTTAAATTATCTAAAAAACTTGATTATTTATAAATAATATGATTTTTAAAAAATTTTATTTTTTTATTAATATACAGTATAAATTTATTTATTATATTTCTTGTCTTTTTCAATTATGAAAAGTTATCCTTATATCTTTTTCCAATTTAGTTACCTGAAGTGAGAAGTTACCTTTATCTGATAGGTAGCTTAATGACTTGTAAGTTAGTAAATTAAGTAATTTCCAATATTTGATTTGTACTTGCTTGAGTTTAATAATTGTTGTGATCCCAACTGATCCTAGATCATTTAGTCTGTCACATAAACCCATTATTTGACTTTTTTATTACAGCATCCAGATACTTTTCAAGTTGAAAATCTTTGAATAATGAATTATGTTATTCAATATGAATTTGCATAACATACTTCTTTTATTCTTGAAAAGTTTTCTATATGTTACTGTTAATATGTTCATATTTTTCAAGATAATATGCTATGTTATATTTTAAATTCTATTCTGGATATTAATACCCTATTTAAAATATAAAGGATCTGTTTGTCAATTATTCTTTTGCTTTTTAGGACTCTAATAACTATATTAACTTTTTTGAGCACATATTCTTTGAGTTTAATTGTAATTTTTTGATTGCCAATCCAGATTTCCAAAAATCTGACTTGTTCAGTTCTATCAAGTTCTTTGATTACTTCTTCTTTAATATCTATATGCACTTTTTCTGAATAGCAATTAGGATTGTTGATAGTTACATGTATCAACTTATTATTATTGATTTAGAAATTATTAACCTTATAAAAATCTCTTATAGTTTTCAAGATTTTTTCATATCTTTCTTAAACCTTGCTATCCATATTGTGTCATCTATAAAGGTTATGGTTGCATACCTTGATTCTAACTTTCTAATATTATAGTCTTTTAGATCAGGGTTTTAGGTAACTGATATTTTGTATTTCCTTTGAGTATCATTTTGTATTTTATAAAATAAGGGGTCATAAAAAATTCATCAAAGTAAGGATAAGATAGTTTTTTTCTGATCAATTCCATCTTCTGCTACTATAGATTTTGTAAGATTATTCTCAAATATAATTTGAAATTCTTTGTTTTGAAATAAATACATCATTATCTTGATAAAGCCTTTTGAAACTTTAATTTGTTTCATTGTTTTAACTAATATTTTTAAGCTGATAATGTCATAGGTTTTAATCATATCCTGAAAAAGTATTCACAGTTTTTTTTTGTTTTCTCTAGTATCTTCACAGATATTATTGAGAATTTAAATCAGTTCTGCTATACTTTTTTCTAGTAATCCTATTTAATTGGATCCCTTGAGAATATTGTTAACTTTATAAATTTTTTCTTTTTGATTGATAAAGATTTTAGTGAAACATTTTTTGTAACCTCTAATAGAACAATCAATCTAGTATTTGAGAGTTCACAGTCCCATAGTTTTGGTTTAACTATTAGATATATATAACTTTGTTTTCAATAAATTGAAATAACTTTTTATTTCAGAAAGTTATTAAGTATTCTTCTCAAGAATTTCTTTCCTTTTTGACTTAATTTCTTAAGCATTTTGTAGTTAATTTGAGATCTGTCTGGAGCTTTATTATTTGAAAATGTATGTAATGTTTCACTTAATTCTTCTTGGAAAATTGATTAAAGTAATTCTTTATATCAAGCTTCTTACATGAATTCTTTGGGCTTGTACTTATTCTTCCAATCCTTTGGTAGACTGTCGTAACTAAAATTTTATTTTTTGAATATCTCAATATAATACTTTCTAATTTTTTCTTCGATTTTACTTTTTTGTGTTGTAATATATTCAATATTATTTTTCTTAATTTTGATTCTATCAGATATAATCTTGCTTCTAACTTGATTTGTTAAGAAGTTAACTATTCTTCTTTGATTGTGTCATAGATTTTCACACTTTTATTCTAGAGTTGTTTTTATTGTGTTCCTTGTCTTTTTGATTTCTAACCTTTGGCATATAAATTTTAATCCTTTTATCACATCTTGGATATCTTTTTTTAAGGTTCTCCGAGGCATATTGAAAATACTATATTGAACACAGATATTTTTAATCTGGTGGTTGGACTTGTGAATAGTATTATGGTTTTTTATAACTAGGCTGAGGATCTGTAGATTAGCTATGTCTTTTGATATTTTTGCCTTGTTAAAAAGCTCTTTTAGTTGTAAGGCTTTTCTATATTCAACAAACTTGGGATTGTACTTATATTTTTTTCTTCATTTTAAGCTATATTTTTAATTGCAAGTTTGTTGAAACTGTTTTACATAGCAGTTTTTCAAAAGTTTTCCAAAGCCTGTTTGCTTGGGTTTCCCTTTCCTCTTAATTCTCTTCTTCCTATAACATGGATTCAAGTATTGTTTTAAACTTGTGATTCAGACTTTCTTAATATGTTTGCCATTATAATAGGAATGATTCCTTCATGTCTATTTATTTTTAAGTATTTGTAAAAGGTTTGTTGACTCCACTTCTTGTAAACAGGTTTTTGTTATAAAGTGTAATTACTAATATAGTGTAATCACTTTCCATAATATCTTTTATATCTTAATTGTCAAATCAGAGTAAGAGTAGTTTGCTAGATTATATGATATTCAAATATAATTTATTTCACTATTGCTTATTAAGTCTTATCTTGTTGAAGTTTTGTTTTTTTTTTTTCCATATAGCTTATATATCTATAAATCTCCATTTATCTAGAAAGTTGAACAATGGAATTTCTGGATATTATGATGATTTAAACATAACTTTTAAGAAGGTTTGTCTATCTTTTGATAGGTTATAAGTTATATTGAAATCTCTTATTACAACTGTGAGATAACCTAGCTCATACTTTCTTTTAATAAGGCTTGTTAATTTTTCTTGTACCTTTTTGCTTCTTTTTTTATCTGATGAAATGTAGATTTGTATAATATAAAAGTTTTTCCATTTCATAAGCAGGTTAATAGCAACTATATATCCATTTTCTTCTTCTACCAATGTTACTTTTTTTTTTTATCTTTTCTGATCAAAAGATTAACTCCTGCTCCAAATAGTGTTTTATTATTGATACTATAGAAATACTTGTAGGCTTTTTGATTGTTGAAGACCCATTATGCATTGGTTTGAGTTAATTTTATTTCATATAATCCTAGTATACCTATTTCTTGTTCTTGTATTTTCTCAATAAGACTCTATTAATTTGTTTTATCTATAATACCTCTAACATTATATGTATCTATTCTTATCACTTTATTAGAAATTGTATTCTCTTTGTTGTTTGTTTTTATTATTTTGTTTTGAACTTGACTATTTAAAAATACTTGTCATTCCTTATATAAAAATAATATTATATCTAAATTATTATTATATTCTATTATATTATTATTATTATACTTATTTGATCATTTTTTGTTCTTGTTCATTGTGATTGTTGAGAAGAAACTAGGCTCTTGTTTCTCATAATTGTTATAAACTATTGGTGTGCCTTAGAAGTGATTTGCTTCTTTTTTG